ATCAATTTGTCATCAGAGCACGTGGCTGCAGTCAGGGAGGCTGATTGAGGTACATGCTGGGAAGTCTCCTGGCCAGACCCTGCCTCTGGCGCCGCAGCCCTTCCCTTCCCCAGCTCTCTGCCTTCCTACTCCACATAACCAAATCCTCTGCCCCCCTCCTGCACCCATACCCCCTCCCAGATCTGGCACCCCAATTCCCCGCCCCAGATCACAGTCCCCCTCCTGCCCTAGCTCACAACCCAAATTCCTGCACCCCCTCCTGTACCCCAATTTCCTGTCCCAGGTCACAACTGCCTCCTTCACTCAAATTCTCTTCCTTATCCCAAGCTCCCTTTTGCACCTAACCTCCATCCCTGACCCCATACCTCCTGCATTAATATCATGGAATAGTGCAGTCCTCCACCACTTTCCAAATTATTGGAGTGGCCCGTCAAAAATTCTTGCCCACCCCGGGCCATTAATATCATGGAATAGTGCAGCCCTCCACCACTTTCCAAATTATAGGAGTGGCCCGTAAAAAATTCTTCCCACTCCCTGGTCTAAAGAAATTCTTTGTGGAAAAGAAAATCCTTTAAGCAATCCAAAGGATGGATGAATTTTAAAGAAGCTCAACTGATGCAGTTTTTCAAACTTACTGAGGACGGATTATTATGTAAATTGTAGCTAATTAGTTGCAAGCTTTCCTCTGTTTTCAGCTACTAGATTGTATTAAAATGCATATAAAATGTACATAAATACTATAAGTATCTTGAATTCATGATTTGTACCTGCCACTGAAGTGTTCTGCAAATATGACTGGAATCTGAAATTGCACATTACCAAAAAAAAAGTCAACGCTCAGGCTCAAACTGGCTTAATTAAACATTTAGGATAGCCGAAAAGTATTTTAATAACTGGTATGATTTATCTGTTAGCCATTACAAAAAAAGTCTACTTTTCTCAAGATTCTTGTAACTACTACAGTGGTTTATTCAAGTTTCTCCCTGAATTTTTTTTCAGTTGTTCAAACTACAGATTTATCGGGAGGAGTCTGTAGGGTGTGGTTAGTCTTTAATGTTACATTTTAGAATCTCTGAAAATGTCTGAAGTATAGACATTTATTTGTATTTATCTACACCATTATTTCTTTAAGTACTTCAAAAGTAGTGTCCCTTTTAACAATGTTTTATACTTAGTAGGACAGGATCTTACTCTAGTTGTGGGCCAAAAAGTCTGGTAAGCTCTCTTTTTTTAAATAAAGCTGATTGTATCTCTTGAGTTCCACTGACTAGTTATTAGAAAATATTATTCTGTTTTTCTGTTACTGTACACAGTGTTCTTGATTTTAATTCTTCTGTATCCTCAAACTATTCCATGTTTTTCCTCTCCTTTATTCTGATGATCTTAACTGTGGAGATGAGTAATAATATATAAAAGTGACTTCAGAAATGTCTACTACCAATGAAGGCCTATGTGTTCTGGTAACTCTCTTAACTTTCATGGAAAAGTTGCTCATTTTGTGTGGTGCTCCTTTTGTTTAAAATTCTGCAGCAAACACATATACTTACATTGAACTAAACAAGAAATGCAGCAGCTAGTGCAGTATTCCTTGTTAATTGTTGCTTAATTTGAGGTTTCAGGGGTTTTTTATTTTAATTTTATTGGGTGGGGGGCAAATGTAAAGACGGGAGAGTTTGTGGTTTATCAAAAGAACAACTGTTGGGCTTTAGGCACTTGAATGCAAGGTATGTGGTGTGGTTCTGTCATTTCTTTTAAAAGATCAGCAATAATATGGATAATGACGTTTAAGTGTTAGAATTTGAATTTTTACCTCAAATTGAAATGAATGGAAGCAATATACATCTGACTTTTTTGGGTGCTACTGTTTCAAGTTTTCTGATGATTTAAGGCAACAGGTAAATAGCTTATCTCACTTAAAAGGCTATCTTATAAGCAAAAGAAATTTTCACTATGGTTTATATGGAGATTCTGATGCACAATTGTGTGGCAAAAGGTAGACACACTAAAGAATTCTACAACTTTATAATACTCAGGGCCCTAAATATAGCTTTGAAAGATTTAGTTTTTGAAAGTTTCATAATGGTGTGTGTTCTCATTCTTGGACTATGACTTTACAAAGTTGGTAAAAAAAAATAAAGCATTTCTTGTATTGCATATTTTGCTTTAATTAAGCATTGTAAACCCAAATTAATCCTTGCTTCAATTCTTGTTTCTTCCTAAGATCTTAACACTGAGATTAATTGGTCCTTTTTGTGCTTATTTTCCAGCATATATATATATAAAAATTACATTATCACTTTCAACTTAATTTCTCATATTCCCAGAATAAATGGCTTTACTACATTTCAAAGTAAATTATCTTTGTGTAGTACAAAATTGTTTCATTCATTAGAAAGTTATGGTGTAGTGATATAAGTTTCTCACTATTGCTATGTCAATCAACTCCTAAAATTAATTGATTGAACTTGGTCATTTAAATTGCATATGCTCAGTAATTTACCATTATACAAAAAAATAAATATTACATGAAAGCAAAATTAGGAGTTAGGAATGCTGCTTATTTTAAACCTCCAGTATTAGCCAGTGCTATCTGTTAAACACACAATAGAAAAGCTAGTTAGTACACCATTTATATAATAAACATTCCTTGGATGAGATTAGTGATTCCGATCAGAAGAGGGACCATCGTGGTCATCTAGTCTCACCTTCATACACTAGGGATGTAAAATTCCATTTAATTAAAAAGTTAAATGTAGTATTGGCACTATGTTTACCTGATTTAAAGGGGTTTGGGCTAGAGCAGCCCCATTACAGGAAGAAGTTGCTTCT